CAACATAGGGCCAGCCTGATAGCTCAGCACATTAAAGTGCCTGCTTAGGCAGAGAGCAGCAGCTGGGGTTCATTCCCCAGTGTGCTGTGCTGGTTTCGCTCCCAGGTCACGTTGAAACAGTTATTGAGACTGGGCATGGTGGCCTGCACCTATAATTCCAGTGCTTGGGAGGCTGAAAACAGGAGAATCACTAGGAGTCCAATCTGTATAATGAGATGCTGTAGACACTACCTTAAAATTACAGGAAAAAAATAAATAAAAATAAATAACAACACCTTATAAAAGCTAAAGTTTTTATTTGTTGTTTTTTGAGACAGGGTCTTGCTATGTATTTCAGGCTCACCTGGACTCACTATGTAGCCCATCATGACCTTGAACTCACAATGACCCTCCTACCTCAGCCTCCTAAGTGCCAGAATTACAGGCTTGCGCCATCACGCCAAGCTAAAAAGCCAAAAATTAATAAGTAATAAGTATTTTGTCTTTAATTTTTTTCCCCTGTATTTACGACAGGGTAAACAGAGTCTACAGGGTCTCACTACGTAGATCGGACTTGTCGCAAACAAGTAATAAGTATATGACAGAGAAACTTAAAAATTATTTTCTTGGGCTAGAGAGACAGCCTGGTGGTCTAAGCACCTGCCTGGCAAGTACAAGGACCCAGGTGATCCCTGGTACCCCAAGCTGTGCCAGTCCCAGAATCCCAGGCACACGAAGGAGCTGGCCACCAAAACCAGGCATGGTGGGGCACGCCTATAATCCCAGCGCTGGGGAGGCTTAGATAGGAGGATCACTATAAGTCTGAGCTGAGTAGCAAGACTCTGTTCCAAATAAATAAATAAATGACTTAAAAAGGATTTTTTAAAAAGGGAAAGCATGCATTTAAAAAAAAATTTTTAATTATTTTCTTAAATTAGGTGTGGTAATACACACCTGAATCTCAGTACTCTGGGAAGCTGAGGCAGGAAGATCTCAAATTTGAACTCAGCCTGGCCAACTCGGAAAATCTGTCTCAAAATAAATAAATTTTATTAAAATTATTTATTTATTAATTTTTACATTTATTGTGTGTGTGTGTGTGTGTGTGTGTGTGTGGCCAGCTCAGCCCAGCAGGGGGTGGGGCTGGCTGGCATGTGGTGCTGGGGGATTGAACCGCGCGGTCCACTGTGCTTTGCTAAGCTTGTTCTAAGTAGGTGCTTTAGACCACTGAGCCATCTCTCCAGCCCCTCAAAATAAATAAATTTTAAAATAAATAAATAAACCTAAAATGGGGATGGAGATATAGCTCAGTGTAGGGTCCCCAGGTTCAACACCCAGTACCAGGAACTGGTGAGATAGCAGCACAGCATCTGCCTGGCAAATGCAAGGCACTAAATTCAATTTTCAGTAACAAAAAAAGTCGGCACCTTTTTCAGAGAAACCAACAAAAGAAATTAACCCTTTCCTTCTTCAGGGATTGAACTCAGGCCCTTGCACTTGCTAGGGAAGCACTTCTTCCACTGAGCCATCTCCCCAACCCCAACACTTTCCTTTTTTAATGAATGTTATGATTGTTTTTTTCTTTTTTACTGTTTCTTTCAAAGACATATCTGCCCTTAACTTTAGTACCTTTATCAAGGGATAGAAGACTCATGTATTCCAGCCTGCTAACTGGTCCCATGAAAAGAATTGTTTTTCTTAGGCACTCACATGGCAGTGCTACTTGGTTCCACCTACAACTTCCTTGGAAGGAGAAAGGCTCTTCCTTACCAGACATGGATGAGAGGCTGTGGTAACACTGACTACCTTCCACCGCAACTTAGGACAATTTAGTCTTGACACGCATGAAACAATAACTTCAGAGCAAGCTGTGTTCAGGCCAAGCCAGGAATTTACTCCAGGTCAAGAAGTAACTTAAGGGGCTGGTGAGATGGCTCAGTGGTCTAAA